TTACGGAGACTTGCCACGGTCTCCAACCCTCCTCCGTTCTCATCCGGGCTTGGGACCGGCCATGGCGGAGTTGGAATCCAAAAATCCTTTCCATGCTAAATATGCTTACGGATCTTGGCATATTTGCAAGTGTTCGAGAAGGCCAAGTGATGCGGTTCTGCATCCATGCACTACAGGTACTAAAATACCATGGAGCCGTGGTCTGTTCAAATGGTCCCCTAGGCGACTAGAAGCAAGGGGGCGGTGCCTCATTACGCCGGTTCAATCTGGTATCAAAAGACAAAAGGTTAAATTGATACCTGATTCTTTGGTAGCTCAGCAATTAATCAAATTAAACCATGTCAGGGAAATGTCAGTGAAGCGGATGCAACACTTCCTCTTTCTGCTGGCTACAATGTGAAACGACATCTCAATTAACAGCTTCGTTTAGTCACGGTGTTCATCGATCACCGTGACATCGTCGTTTTGAAAGTCATAAATGCTTTCAAGGCTGGACAACGAAATCAGAACGATTTGTGCACGATTTTGCCATTGCTATCAGAGTTTATTGCATGCATGTGGATAAACAACGTTTCCGCACTCCATTTTTGGGAGAGGATCAAGATTATTATGCAACAGGATTCCAGAAAAAATGATTTGAGACCGCAACTTTTCAAATACCGTCTAACCCTCTTGCATATACCTATATAGAAATGGGGAAAAAATCAAAAAAGGGACAGGGTTGAAGAAACAGAAAATCGTTGAAATATCGGAAATGTCCGTTTTAAAGAAATGTTGATTAAAGAAGCTAGGTTTCACCTTTGAATAGACGGTTTCTATGCAGTAACTGAGAGCCCTGAAAGCATGAATATTTCATATATGACAATATTGATTAACGGTTAGAGTGCTTGAAATATGATCTTGGATGAGCTATGCACCATATAATATAACATACAGAGTGATTAGATTACTCAAAGTAGATACCTCAGTTGTGCAGGTGATACAGTTTTTTTCTGTAATTTATTTAGAGGAAATTTTGGCCAAGGATTCTGCAATGTGGTGGTCAAAATCCGGGAAATACCTAGCATATCTGACACTGAACGACACGTTGGTGGATAATATTTCGCTAACGTATTATCCAGAGAAAGCCGTATACCCCGTCATTGTTAGTTTTCCGTATTCGAAGGTTGGAACGCCGATTCCTACGGTCACCGTAAATGTATGGAACAAGCAGAGCGGTCAGACGACACAGCTCCGACCACCTGATGAACTAACGAATGAGGCGTAAGATCATTCAGGAGATCGTCTACATACATGACCTACGTCGGAGTACATTCCAGGGATGGTTATTACGTCTTAAGGGTATCGTGGGTGAACACAGCTTCGAACGAAGAAGTTTTCGTTGCATGGGCAAACCGCGTTCAGAATTTGGTCTACCTGACGACCTGTTCGGTGGATACCGGGAACTGCGCCAAGGTAGTCCACGAAACCGTTGGGCTCATCGTCTAAAAGTCACACTGATTCAGAATTTTCAACAAAACTACACGGACTACTGGGCGCAACCGTCGAGCTTCGATCTGACGCAAGGCGCAGCGAGTGAATACTTTCTTCTCCTGCCCGAAGAACAGGACGGAAACTTTTTCTCTCATGTTTCAGCCCTGCCACCAAGCGTAAGTTGAAATGATCAACAAAGTGCAACCTGCGTACTAAACACAGCGTTTAGACAAGGAAAACGGATTCTCCAACGTTTCTAACAAATGGCGCCTTTGAAGTAAATAAAATCGTTGGATACAACAAAGAGTCCGAAAAACTGTAAGTCTCATGAAAATATATATTCTGGGCCTGATTTAGCCGTTTCTTCACAGATACTACATCGCCGCAAGCCCTCAACCAAGAAACCGACATCTTTACAGGTAACGATTTGTAAATATCGAATACACACGAAAGTTATTAGAACTACCAATTACCTTATGCTGAAGGTCAGCTCAGCAAACGAGACGCAAAATGAGTGATGAGGAACAACGTGGAATAAGGAACACCAAATATATTCAACCAAGCGTCAAGGTTTGGGACACGTGTTTTGACAGCTAGGCTGTCATTTTCAACTGTACATGAATGTTGACTTTTGCAAGTATAGCATGCAGCAGTTCTAACAGCGCGCTATTCCGAGAGTGGACAATCATACATACAGAGCAAGTTTGAATAAAATAAATAAAATTGCAACAATGCTTCAAATATTTTCCTTCACAAAATTGTTTTATTCGTCCGTTCTCGTGTAATGACCTCCAGTAAGTTATTCACAAGCTGAGGACAGCGATTATCTGTTACGCCACGGCTCGCCAACGGCGAGTGTCAGGTTAGCGCAACCTACACACCATGGTATTCGTCCGTTCTCGTGTATCACTGTGCTGAAGTGCTGAACTTCGGGTGACATCCAAAAATCGTTCGATAATTCCGCTGAGGTCGAAAATAGCTGAATTTATTTGAATTAGTGCCCTGTACTTAGTAAAGATAAAAGATAAATATAAACGGTATTTGTTTCTATGAATGTATGAAATTAATTTTTTCTTTTATCCGCATTGGACGCTCGTTATGCTGAAATTTAGGTTTCCTTATAACGAGATCCGCCTAGTGCATTTTCTTACATATGTTATTGAAGCATAAGAAACTGTTCTGACAATTTTGTTATGCGGTATTGGCTATCCCGAAATTTGATCCAAATAGTGCGTTATGAAAATTGGTAGTATTGAATGGGCGTGAGCTGAGAAGAGTATGGAGCAATCAGTGAATTAATCAACGAAACAATGAATGACTAAATGATCGAATATACCAATCAACGAATCAGTCAGTTTTTTTAACTTGAGCAACGATGGCTGCCATCACCCCGAAGGTCTAATCATAAACCGTAACCGCTTCGATAACAGAAATACTATTAAAAAAATCAAATTAACTTTAAAATATCGTTTCCTATTGGTTAAACATGGTATTTTCAGCGTGTCGATGGCAAAAAACGAAAAAGGAGTGAGCATGTGCCTCACTTGCGATTTAAAGAAGAAATGCGGCTACGTGAATGTATATTTTTCTCCAGCTGGAACGTACTATATGCTCGAGTGCCGGGGGCCTGGAATACCGTATTCAGATGTGGTTGTTACTGCCACCCAAAAATCCGGTGAGATTAATAGATTATTCACATTAATAAATAATTTAAATGTTTGGAGCAATATTGTTTATATCTTCAAGAGATGTGCAGCAATTCTCTTCACATTAATTTTTCGGTCAGAGTGATATTAGCAAAATGAAGGCTATTGTTAAACAGTCTTATTTAAGAAGATTTATGTACTTATTGTCACGTATTAATTTTAAATTATAATTTTATTTTCTTTCTTTTCGGGTGCTACTATGACGCCATTAGAAGGCTTAATAGTCTCACTGTCTCTAAGGCACAACCGGCTGGTGCCAATTTTGAGCTGATAGTTTAACAATCCTGAGGGGAAAACATATCTCGTAGTTCTGTTTAAATCGAACAACGTGTTAATAATTTAGACACGTTTTGTATAATCATACAAGAAGAAGAGGGATGTCGAGTTGTCCTCCGATTCTCTAATGATGGAATAGTAAGCACAGTAAGTCGAAGTTTTGATTCGTCGATAACTATTGTCTGCAACTGAATCGGCGGAAATGCTTAGTCAATAACGGGAATCTATCCACTTTCCCTTAATAATCGACTAAAATAAATTTGACATTTTGCAACGGCGTTGACGCATCTTTAAACCACAGCAGTTTTTTTGATATCAGTAAATAAATGCCTCATGACTTACCGTACATGATTTGATATGCAGCTGTTTTTCACTTTATGTGACACCCTTTAGATGACGAATTTTTAAACAAGCTGTTTGTAATTCGAAAAAATAAAGGTTAAATAACTGAAGTAATTAGTCTTGTTGAGATGCTGCGTTTTCTCTTCTTTTACACTTAAAGTTTACGTTTAGTCTTCACGATCGAAAATAATGATCGACTACATGAATACATGAAGCATAAGAAGATGCCCTTAGTTCGATTCCAGGAAATTCCGTTGAACGACAATTACAGTAAATGGATGATAAACAATCGCATATTTAAAATTAAATATTTTAGAAGCAATAGTGAAGTACGTCTTGCCACATGATTTCTACGAAAGCAGCAGCGTGAAACATCCGCTAATCTTAAAAGTGTACGCTTCTTTAATTACTGATTGATCGCGCGATGGTAAGGAGGTTAATTTTTAGGTATGCTGGTCCCGACAGTCAAGCTGTTACCGACACGTGGCTCTTCCGCAGTAAGCAATCAGCGTTCGAAGCCTCCATGACATCGGAAAGAAAATACGCAGTGGTTTACATAGACGGTAGGGGGTCGGCTAACAGAGGCAGTAAGTACTTGAAGCCGGTGTACAAAAATCTTGGTGTCCACGAGACCGAGGATCAGATCAACGCGTTCAAGTAAATGCGCCTAAGTGATTGTCTTTCTGCATATTCGTAATTGGTACTTTCAGAAAAATTCTTTCAAACGAGAACTTTAGCAAGACGGACACCGCCGTCTGGGGCTGGGTAATAACACTAATTTTTCTTTGGCTAAATTTAAAAAATTTTTTTCTGTAATTCATAACTTTCTATTCGGTTCGTCTTCGGTATGGATGATCTCTATATTCCTCGCTTTGTACCTCCATCGCTGGCAAAGTAATTTGACCACCGGATGGTCGAAGCGTGTTCTTAGATGACCGACTCGACGTTTGCTGATCAACGGAAACAAGTTTTTAACCATTGACTTCAACCGACTTTCTCTCTGGCAAGTCACATCGTTGACCCCTCATCACTTGGTATAGTTAAAAGGCAGAAATTACATCCAGTGCATCATCGAATTTGTGCACCCAGAACGTGATCCCGGGGAGGGGGGAAGGAGGGGACATCTTACACATTTTGCGCTCTATCACTCTTTCCGTAAACATCCATTTATTCTCGCTGGCTTCTGTGCCAAGTAGGGTCCTCTGTGAAGCGAAGCTCTCTGCTAATATCTGCTAATTTCCCTGTGTAGGGAACTTACACCACCGTACTTCGATGCAACCAACCAAATAATAGGAACAACATCATGGTTCTGTGCGCTCATGCTAAAGCATACGACAAACGTAGCCATGAAATCTGAGGGGTGTGCTTTCCAGCTGCAATTTTCCTTAACCCGCCTAATGAAAGACCAAAATCAGCATAAGTAGTAAACATAAAGTTAATGAATTTAAAATGAATGAAATCTCTTCATCAATGAATTCACTCCTTCTCGCCCCTCGACGCAGCCATCCAAAAATGAACAACTAGTCCTTTGCCCGGGAAAAAATAAGGACAGCATGATGTTCTGGTGTGGTTGTTTGAGAGCATACAAAACCATGTCGTGTAATGCATGCGTTTGTCGGCTGCAATTCGCTTTGACATAACTTATA